CTAAATATTAAATCTACACCAACGGATCGCTTTGGTTCTAATTTTTGTATTGCCTGCAAGATTTTGTCGGTACTAACTTGGTTGATTGACAAAGTTTCATTACAAGCCATGCTACCGGCAGGATTCGTGTTCTGGGGAACACCGGAAGAATAACAATCGCTAAAATAGTTTCGAAATATGTTGCCTACTTTTTCGGGACACGTTACATAATTCGTGTAATACGCAAAAATGTGTTATTAGTTGACTCTTGTGTACGATGCCTTACGAATTGCCAGAATTTATCGGGTTCGCGGCACAGGCTGCTTTCTACTCCTCTTTCATAAACACATTTATCATGCTTAAATAACTTTTTAACAAGCTCTCGGTAAACACTAAATTTCAAATACCATAGCTCAATGCCACTTCTTTAAAACCATTTATGAATATAATTTTTCCTGCGCGTATATTTTAATTCCTTCGAGTACCAAAAGGGGTACCTAGACGCTTTGGAAAAGCGCTTAGGAATAAACAAGTCGATTCAATTCCTTACTATCTCTGTTAAAGATTTAGTCGCGGAATCTACAAAGTCATTACCCAGGACCGTCGACCAATCATAATTTTGAAGGAACTTAAATAGCTCTAGATAATCACCATGGCTATAATCGTAAGTACTGAAATATTGTCGTACACACGATTTTTTAGTTAAACAAATTACTACGATGAAAGGTGGATAAAAAACGTCAGGTCACACAAGGAGATCACTAGTTGGCATTACATTTTCAATGGCACAGTTTGAAAGAAAAAGATTGAGAACATTTTCGGCACTATTTTTCAACTTATTGTGCGGACTAAACCCGTTAAAATGAATAAATTCGAGTAATCGGGACACTTTATTTCTTGTTGATTGGTCCAGATGACCAATCAACAAGAGATGACCAATCAACAAGAATCCATGGCGGGGAGGTTAAAATCCCCATATATATGTACTTTAAACTTTGAAAAATCAACTACTTTTGAAATACTTTCGAATGGTTGGCAAACACAATGGGATCTGATAACGAAGAGAAATAATAATTCCCAATAAGGTAATTAAAACCGTCACCGGATACTATTTCAACCCAAACAGATTCCGCATAGGATTCCAAATCCCGCCTTCCCATCGAGTTGAGCGACTCGCGCACCTTGATTAATACACCACCACTAAACCTCTGTTCCGTGGCACCGTAATCTCAATCTTTACGATACATGTTATAAAAAAATAGAAAATAACTTGCGCTTGAAATTTCTTCTAAAAGCCAGTTCTGCCTGGTTGCTGGGAAAATAAAACAAAGAAAACAATGCACACAACCTCATATAAACAACTGTATTGTTTTTTCTAATTTTGCTTAACATGTAGTTTGACAATTGACTGACTCTGTATTTTATTGGATGTGGCCATTCAATAAAGGTACTGCACAAAAAAATACTAGGTAATTCGTGTCTGTTCAAAGAGTGACTGAGATATGTCTGTGCTTGTAAGCAAAAAGTAACGAATGTAAATGACAGAGCACAAAACGTCGACAGCAAATTTTGAGAATTTCTAGAGCGTAGTCTATGTGTATCGTCTCTTTCAATGCTTGAATGTACGCTTGAACAGACTTGGACGTAAATCAACTACTCTACTCAAACTACTGTAGTTTAAGTACTTTTCCGAGTAACTTGGCAACTTTCAATTACAACGTTATTTGGGTAATTAGTAGTTTACTTTAACTACATTTTTCAGCTAACTTCTACTCAAACTACTAGCTACTTTCGAAATCTAGTGCTAATTTTGATCATCACAAAATTTTGAGTGCAGAAATAAATAAGACGCCGGCAAATGAAGTGGCATTTCCGAACGAGGGTCCTCCTCACATTTTGTTCCCACGCACTTATACTCGGCAGCCGTAGAAACTGCATCACGGGCGTCCTTGGGCCAAGGTGGACCGTGGCGACGAGCAGCCAAAGCATAACATTGGCGCGCACGAACGCAGGAAGAGATGCGTAACAAGACTTGGTCGCGTATTGGCCTAATCCGGTAATTCACGCAGTGGCCGCGCCTCCAGCTGCCACCGTGAAAGACGGGGAGACTCCGAGGGTTGTTGTGGTTTTCATGTTGTCTGCCTTCAGTGAGTTCTGACTCGAGCAGTTTTGGGGTTCCACGGGAGGCGCCACTGGGATGACCTCGCAGCTCGGCACCTGTTCGCATTGTCGCCTCGTTGTCAGCGCATACTCCCTTGCGAAGCCAGACTCCCCAGCGCGCAAACGTAGACACGGATCCTTCGCGTCTTTCCGACCTTCCACGGCAGGGGGACCTCCTCTTTGTTGAAAATGATTTACTTGTCTGGCGTGTCAGGCGCGTCAAATTACCGTAGTCGCAGGCGAGAATTGCGAGTCACCCTTGGGAGATGCGTTTGTTTGACCCGCCTTAGCGGCGAGGTATACATCGCTTCATCTTCTGTTAAACCAAAACATTTTTTTTTTCAGGAGCGTACCACCGGCACTGCGAGACGCGCAGTCGTCCGGATGATCCCATCGTCGTGGCGCGAGACTTGAACCCTTGACGGTGAAGTACACTCGCTCAGCGGCCAGTCATAACGATCCCAACTTGTCAAAAAAAGAAAAAAAGTAGGAGAGTTTGTTAAAAAAGACCCTCTAGGCCGAGGCAGACATCACATGTTTAGTCATGGACACCGAAGATGCCGACACTCGCCTACCCGACCCTGCATAGCCTGTTTCTGAAATTCAACGCTGCTATTCCATCCAGCGCGTCGGTGGAACGCCTTTTTAGCCTGGCTGGGGACGTTTTCAGGAGGAAAGGGGGAAACTCTCCGATAAAAACTTTGAAAGTCAATTGCTTTTGCAAACGAATAAACTGATTTTGGTGAAAACGCGAGCCATAAAATGACTGCATTGATTATAGGCTCGCAAGGTTTTTCACGAATGAAAACTGCTGTTCATTTTGCTACTACAAAAATATAAAAAAGTAACTTCGAAAGTAACTTCAAAAGTAATTCGCTACTTTTTTACAGTAGTTAGTAGTTTACTCAATTGCTATTACAAATTCGTAATTTCTACTCTACTCCAATTACTTTTGGCGTCAATACTCAGTAACTTAACTACCCTTTTTCAGTAACTTGTACATGACTGCGCTTGAGGCATCTACTAAAAGATGGTAGTGCTTACTCTGTACGTCCAAAGTCCTAGGTCGTGTGACAGGAGTAAGCACTACACGCAGTGCCGTACCAACTTGCTTTTGAGTAGGGGGGCAAACCACACCCCCCCTACTAGTGCGGGAAGCGGTGCCCTTGGGCTACACTGGGGTGGGGGGGGGGGGGGGGCAACCACCGACCTTGCCCCCCCCCCCCCCTCTCCCCGGTCGGTACGCCCATGGGCACAGGAGGCTGGACTGGTGGCGAGGTAGGTTGGACCAGCGGCACAGGAAATTGGACCACCTGCATAACCTGGTCCGTGTTGCATGGTTACCAGGTGTCGGCGTCCTCCACGCCATTCATTATTTGAACAAACAGAGGCTGGTGGTTCTCAGAACCTGTAAATATAGTATTCCATAGATATTTTTGGCGCACAAAGCATAACGACACGCTTTGGAGCTCGGCATTGAAAATATATTAAAAATATAACGCAGGTGGGATGGTGGAGTCAAATTTTTAATAGATAATTTTAGAAACATGCAGTGACTCCCATTGTTTCTTCGACACATCAGGGCACTCCGATGTATGGCGCGTGAAGGAAAATGTTCCGTCAATAAAAAAGCGGGTCATGTCAGCTTAGCATTCCGCAATTTCTGGACGCAAAGAAGAAATACTATAACAAAACAGTATGTACCGGGCTTTCAGATGTGTTCTCTCCGTTTTCTTCGCGTTGTGAACTCGCAGTAGTAAGCGAGAATGATTTGTGCTGCGACCAGGCTGCGGAGAGCGTACGGTCCGGCCCGAGCGTACATTTGAGCGGCCCTACGATTCCCCGCGCCGAGCGGTGCAATGGGGGGGGGGGGGGGGGGGGGGGGGGGTGACAAGTGGCCTTGAGCGATTTCCCAGACAGGCCTATTGGACCACCGTTGCACCAGAAATGAGTCCCAGCAAATACTGTGGCCACAAACCAGTATGATCTGCTCCCACTGCGAGAGCACCTACGTAACAAGAACACATTTCTAAGGGGTCAAATATTCACGGTGCAACAAAGGTGGGTTCATTCATTGCAGCAACTCAATGTTAGTTTCTGCTTGTCTGATCACAAACCGACATGGTCGATGGGACCTCTCCTGTAATCAAGTATTATCAGAACGGAATGAAATGTGAATGCTGAAACGTGTGACCTTCAATGCACGCCACGCTATCTGGAGGTGATAAAACTGCGGAGTGGAGAGAGGAGTTACGTAGGTGTGCACATCGAAAAAGCGCGCACTCTTGCAGCCCCTTTTCTGCTCCGCAGTTTGATTATCGGCCTCCAGGTAGCGCAGCATGTATCGAAGGCCACACGTTCCAGCGTTCGAATTTCATTCCGTTCTGATAGTACACTGACGCCTTGCCTGCGCCACCACACTGTGGAGATCTCATGCCGATAAAACTCTGTCCCTAACAGTCATGTATGTTCTCGAGTATCTGTACAAAAGCAGTCATTCTGCTGGGAACCACACCTTTATTTATTTCAAACTCTCTGAAACATCAATGTACTTTTAGAACACCTAATTAGAACTCGACAGCCTACTTAAAGTTGTACTTTGGGAAGTACCAATGTTCCTATGTAAATTACACTTTTACGTGTGAGCAGCAGGCATGTATGTTGTCCTCAAGGGGTTATTCGACGGGTCCTCGCGAGTAGCCTAATATCAGTCGTAGACGAACACTATTCGGATGCAGCAGGACATGACGACCTCATTTTCCTAACCAGGTGGGGTTCATGACACGCGTGTCATATTTACTAGACTGCCGCGCCGCTGCATTCTAACTAACCGGTCTGTACCCGGCTGCAGCCGTAACAACTCACGCAGTAGTGACAGCATCGCGAGCAGCCCGATTTTTCGCCGGCCGGGCTGTGGTGGCTGTGGCACGTTCCGGCGGCTCCAGCGTAGATGTGGAGGTTGTGTTGGCACCTTCCTCGGTAGCTGTGGTCTTCCTGGGCACTGACTTCACCTTGTAGCCAAATTCATGTGCCAGGTCGGCAACCTCCTGCAGCAGCTGCTCCTTCTCCGTGTATTGCTCTTCCGTTCCGGATCTCAGGGTTTCAGGGGAGAGCGGTATCAACGAGTGTGCCTGTCTCTCTCAAGCGTAGACCTGTTATTTCAATGAACGACCATGAGTTCATCTCCGTGTCGCAAAAGCTGCAATGCGAGTTCGGCAATTTGGAAACACGCATCCCTACACGAAATATCTAGCGGCACAGACATGTGCGTTTCCAAACAAGCTTGCGCTGGCTCGCAGTTGCGCCAGCTGTTGGACAGTGTATGGCAGTATACTAAAACGCTTCTAAAGTTTCAAACAGATATCAAAAACTACTTACTTTCTCAAGTTTTTGCGGTCGTCTCGCTTGAACAGTCTGAGGAGGAGATCGCAGCGGTCTCTTACTCAGTGAACACTGAAGTTCCTCCCGAGTGCTTCGTTCAGGTTGGCGGCCAGTGTATCCCACCGCGAAAGATTCAGAAAGGAATTCACCGCAAGAACTTCCATTAAAAAGAAGATATCTTCAACAATATTCAAGCGTTTTCTATCCACTTGGGCAGAAAGAGACTCGAGTGGAGCGGCCATGATCGCTCAGCTCTCCCCGGATCTCGTCAAGCTCTCGCGAGGCACGGTAGTGCGTGTAATATTTCCCGACATTCTCGATACCTGCGCCCGAAACACCGGATACTCTTGCGCATGCGTAATGGTTCCGGCGCAGTATCGGGTATCGTTGTCGGAGTGAGAAACGATCTACTAAAGCTTACTACTCTACGACTCTGGGTACCGGTGCTTTTCTGCTCGAAGGGGCGTGGCGTGAAGCGTCTGCTCCGTATTTGTTGGGCACCGAAGTGATGCGCGCGCTGGGCCATAGCGTCTCGCACTCTGCGAAATAAAAAAATTGGCTTGCTCTTTTTGTTTATACAGCCTTGATGGAGATGCGCCTCAACGGGTAATCGGTCTCTTAGCTGTAGATGAGAAATTTAGCCAGTGCGGTACAACCGCTAACCTGGGATTTTTAACGTGAATCACGCAGTAGTGATCACACGAACGCGTGCCGGTACGAAACTCATCCAGATCGAAACGGGCGGGGGCTGCGGGGATCGAACCCAGGAGGTTCCCAGCGCAAGCTTTCGCTCCACGCTCCGAGCTGAGACGCGTTAGCCCACTCGGCCACTTCCTTTTTTTTGTCTTTATTGCCTGTTTTTGTTCAGGTGACAAACACATTACACATACAATAAAAGGTTAAAACAAAAGCCTCAAAGGCTATTGTACAAATATCAAGCTTATCAAACACATTCACAGACCAGTGATGGACGCCAGCTCCTCAATAAGCGGCAGAAAGTCCGGGGGTGGCTGCTGAACCTTAAACATTTCTTTCAAAAAAACAGATCATTTCAACAAAATACCTGTCTGCGGGACGCACGTCGACGTCTGCGTGTCTTACAGCCATGCGGCAGCGCCACAAGCTATGGAGACCGACCAGCATGATCATGTCATAGGGTACCATGCTGTCTCCTCCATCAACAGGCAAATAACGGATTCCGTGAGGTGTTAACGGTAGGTCCTTTTTAAGGGTCCTTTGAAGGACGTCCCAAAGGCACACTGCGTCCCAACAGTTAAGAAAAACGTGTTCTATCGTCTCTGGCATTTTACAAAGTAAACAGTTTACCGACCATGCAACGGGAATACCTTTTCCCTCTAAAAAAACTTTGACCGGCAGGGTTTCACTGTGTAGTTTGAAGAAAAAAGATTTCGTGAAGGCAGGTACCCTCATTTGCTTGACACGCTTCAAAATATTTTGACCACTTTCCGCACTGTACAAGGACCGGTGCAGTGGAGTGGGAAAAAGGGAAAAAATCAAATCTTTGGTCAATCGCATGCGCGACACACTGGACAGATACTCGAGCGAAAACCGCGTCGCCAAGAACCGATAAGCAGACACAACTTCTTTCAAAAAACCACGTACACCATAACTGGAATGAATATCGGTCGAAACAATAAATTCGGGCAATGCTCTGCATAGCCGCACCTGAATGACCGTACGCTGTAGAGGGTCCTTCTGGTCTCTTAGGAAACAAAACCTATTAACGAGTTGTCTAACAAAAAGATGCAACAGACCCAGCCCCCCATCCTTGACACGCCGGAAAAGATTGGTTCGGCTCGTTCTTTCCCAGGTCGAGCTCCAAATAAACACAGCAAAAACACGGTGTATGCGCTGGATGTTGACCCGCGAACAGTGTAGCACGTGCAGAACGTACCATACCTTCGCAGCTAAAAAGGCGTTGCATACCGAGGCACGCGCAAACATTGAAAAGCCTCTCCCCCCCCCCCCCCCCCCCCCCCACTTATCCGCCCTTGCGCGCACCGCTTGGGCTTCTTCATTCCAATGCTCCTCGTTGTCGCGGTATTGTTCAAGTGGAACTCCGAGATACCGCACCGGCGTGTCGGACCACGTGGCACGTTCAAAAACAGTGGGCTTGGAGGGCCAATCTCCATGCAAAAACCCCTGACACTTTTGCCAATTTATAGCACTACATATGTTCTCGCAGAACTTCTCAGTTAGTTCTACGGCTTTCTTCACACTCTCTTGGTCTGTACAAAAAATAGCCACATCATCGGCGTATGCCAAAAAACGAACCTCACTGGCTTGTAAATTAAAGCCGCGTATATGCGCACTACGTAACACACTTAAACAATAGGGTTCTAGAAAAATACAAAACAGCAGCGGCGAAAGCGGGCATCCCTGCCGCACAGAAGAAAAAAGGGGGATACGTTCACTTACACTCTTATTCACAACCAGACGGGTGGCACAGTTAAGGTAAGCCATGCGTACCCCATCGCACAGCACTGAACCTAAATTAACATATTCTAAGATGGAAAAAAGAATTTTGTGGGATACACGGTCGAAGGCTTTCTCGAGGTCTATCTGTAGTAGCGCAACCTGTTGTTGGAAATCGTCGCAGCACTCCAAAATGCTTCGCGCTACATGCACGTTTGTAACAATTGTCCTCCCCTTAATACCACACGTCTGGTGAGGACCGACTATAAGGTTGATCACGCCTTGTAGTCGTTCCGCCAGCACCTTCATCAAAATCTTATAGTCCACATTCGACAGAGTAATCGGGCGGTACGCTCCAACCGAGCGTAGCTTAACTCGATCCTCGCTCTTTGGGATTAAAACAGTATGTGTAGACAAAAAGGACGGGGGTAAGACATTAAGTCGGAACGCCTCGGAAAAAACAAGGTGCAAAAAAGGAGCTACTCGATCTTTAAACACTTTATAAAACTCCGCTCCTAAACCATTGGGCCCAGGCGATTTCCCCCCCTTTAAATCGTCTATTGCCTTTCCGACTTCACCTAACATGATGGGCTGTTCTAGCCTTTCCTTAAGCTTGTCTGCGAGCTTCGGCATTAACGGTAAAAAAAAAAAAAAAAAAAAAAAAAAAAAAAATTTTGAAAATCGTTTTTTTTGGGTGCGGAATAACTAAAAAGGCCTTTGTAATGCTCTACGAACGCGTTTTCCATGCTTTCCTTGTCACTCGACAACGTACCCCGATAAAGAATTTCGCTTATCTCGTTCTTGGCGGCATATCTTCGTTCAATGCCAACTGCTCTTTTGGTGGGAATCTCCCCATCCGATATGCGTTTCAGACGTGCTCCTACAACAGCCCCCTGATACTGATCAGTATCTAGCGCTTCCAGACGTTTCTTTAGACTGATAATGTCATCAGTGAAAAGCCCAGGCGATAAACATTCTTCGTGTAATAACTCTTTCAGCAGGCCATCTAGTTCCTGCTTTACCTTCTGCTCGTGTTTCAAAATACTTGAGCGTTCAAGCTCTGTCATTTTTACATCCTGTTTAAACAGTTCCCACTTTACACCAAAATCGTTCCCCTCGGCCCTTGCCAACTCGTCTAGAGTTTGGCGAACTGAATTCACGAAGTAATCATCGCTAAGGAGCTTAGTATTACATTTCCAAAGATTCCAATCAAACTTTTTTGGCTTCTCCTTTGATGAACAGAGCATAAAAGAAACGAGACAGTGGTCACTAAATGACACATGATCAACAGTATACTTTTTACACACTCTCAGCAATTCAGTAAAAACATACACTCTGTCAAGGCGAGCGTGACTTGCTCCTTGGAAGTGTGTAAAGAGCGGAACCCCTCCACCAGACAACGCAGTTGGCAACGTCTTCTAGGCCGTAGCGTTCGACCATTCCCCCCAAAAGTAAAGCACTTTCATCATGAAATCTTCGGCTGTTCGCCCGATCACGAGGAGCGCACACACAATTAAAGTCCCCTAGCAAAATGACACGCCGATCCGTCCGAACATACTTCTCAAAACTCTCAAAAAAACCTACTCTTTCATCGACTCTGTTCGGTGCGTAAATGCAAAGAACACGGAAAAGGTTACAAGAAAAAGAAAAATCACAGAGGACAAAGCGTCCCGACTCATCGCTAATAACCTGCTCTACAGTAAACAAACCCTTCCGCAAAAACAAAAGACACCCGCCAGACGTTCCAACAGCGTGGCTTACACAAACATCGTACCGCGACTCAAACACCCGCACCATGTTCTCCGTCTGTCCTTCGCCTTCCATCTTTGACTCTTGAACCGCCACAATATTGAGGTCGTACTCAATAAAGAGGCGGCTCAGTTGACACTGCCGGCGCCGGGAACACAGTCCCCGTACGTTTAAAGTGCCTACGCGCAAAGACTTTTCTAGCATGCTTAAATTCTAGGTAGGACCAACCGGAAGGTGCTGCCTTTAGAAAAAGAAAACAGTGCGAAGAATCCTTTTACAACAGTAGTGAAGGCCTTGACCACTCACTTCAATTGCTCCTCCCTGCGCTGGCGAGACCTCGACCGTTCACGGTTAAGTCCCCCGTTGCCAACCCACTCGCGCTCGAGGCGTCGCAGTTCCCTGTCGGCGACCTTGGAGCTTACGCCTTCGTGTCGTCGCCTCGCCGCTCCGGTCTCTGCGTCCCTGAGCCTGCCGTCAACGCCACCTTCGCCCTCCTCGGACTTGCCGCCGTCGTCACCCTTGACCTTGACTTCGTCATAAACTTTCGTCCCGACGCCTTCGTCGACACGGTTCTTGCCGTCATCGTTCCCCGGCACGGCGGTTGCCGCTGGGACGTCTGGAAAGTCTGTCACCTTTTCGGACCCGAGTTCTTCGACTACCTCGGGGGCCGCCTTGTCTTTTGATGCCCCGGGCGAAGGTCTTGGTTTCGCCTCATCACAGACTCCTCCGTTCTCTGCGGGCTCGCCCTGGGTTTGCTGGTCTGTCGGCGTCGTCGCTGTTGCTGCTCTCTCGGCCTCGAACACGTCAATGCACTCTGTGTCGTCCGACGCCACGGCGATGTTGTTGCCAGGGACGCGGGCGTACGTCTTCACGCACGACGAGGCCTCGTGTCCGAAGGCCTGGCACTGGTTACACCGGGGCACCCTGCAGTCTCGGCGTATGTGCCCCGCTCGGTGGCACCGGAGGCAGATCGGCTCATGACCAGGGACGACGACCAGGACATTCCCCCCGCAAATCCGCAGCTGGTGTGGGAGGCTTTCCAGGGAAACGCCCTCCTTCAGCACCATGCGCACCACCAGCGTGGTGGACTATCCGTCGACAAAGCCTGGCACTTTCCACTTTTCTCGGATAATTTCTTTGACCGAGCCGAAGGGTTCGAAGGCACGACGCACCGTGTCCGCTGGGACGTCGAACGTGACCCAGTGGAGCTTGATGCGCAGCTCCCTCCGACTCGGGTCTACGAGAAGGCAAAAGCGGCCTTTTACTTGCAAGTTGCCGGCTTCCATAAGCTTGGTCTTTGCTTCCAGCGAGTGCAGTTTCAGCAGCCAGACGTGACTCATCTGGAAGGCCCCCAGACCAGCCACGCCCGGCAAAACTCCCACCTTGTCCAACGGTTCACGGAAGTCTTCAATCCGGTAAGGTCTTCCTTGAAGATCAGCGTGAAGAATCACGCTGAGCTTAGCAGCATCTACGGTGGGCAGAGCAGGCAAAAGCACACGGTAATCGTTTGGCAGAAAAGAAACATTCGTTTCACCGCGGCCGACAACGGCCGCCGCCTCTTTCGGGGAGCGATTCATTGCGCCGTCCGCTCTGGCTGGAAGCCGGAAGTGGAATTTCGGCCACTTCCTCCCCGTCTCTGCGAAATCAGGCAGGACGTACTTTTATATACAGCGCGTGGTACCATAGCCCGCCGCGTGATGGCAGCAAGTGCAGGGTACCGGCAGAGCCATATATAGACCTTTGCAGAAATCGCCTCGTGCGCGCTGCCATCTTTGTCTGCTGGGCTGTGGAACGCCTTCCAAGGATGCGCTGTAGATCTGCTGTGCGATATATCGGACGCTGCGCATGCGTCCACAACTCAGTGACTCAGCATTTTTTGCCCGCTCGCTTCGTTCGAGACTGCCGCTGGAAAGGTCTATAGACCGACACGCGGGCTTGACGTCACGGAGCTGCGGCGGCGCTGCGATCGCGCCGGAGGCGGGGGGTCTGAGCAAAAGGGCGTACGTTTTGCATGGGCGTCATAGCATTTTAGCATGCTGCGAAGTTGTGTTGCCGTTAATTGCACGAAAATCTACAAGAAAAGTAGCGGAGTGAGTTTCCAGAAGTCCCCGGCAGATTTTAAAAGGCATAGAAGTTGGATAATATACGTGGATCGATAATAATGGTTGCCTCGCGCGGACGACCGTTCGTGCGGGAAGCACTTTCTTGAAGGTAAGTCCGGCTTCCATTTCAATCTCCGTCCCGAGGCTTGCTTATGTGCAGGGAAACCGTTGTCTGATCGAGACCACCGAGATTTCGTTCCCACGAAGTTCGCGCAAAAAGCACCAACCAACCGCTCGTTGAAGGCTCGCTTCGCCCGTGCTACCCAGCAGAAGGGGATCGGCGACAGAACGGCAGTATTGTAGGCGTTACCGAAAAAAAGTACAAAATACGTTACACGTTACTTGCAAATAAAAGGTGCGCGTTACTGAGCTACGTTGCATAAAATAAAAGGAACGCGTTACCACTACCGATAAAAAGTAACGCACGCTACTTCTGCGTTACGTTTTAAATTATGATTTAACACGTTTTACGGTCTTGACGATACAGGTATGCATAAGCTCATATATAAAAAAAAAACATTATATTCATGCAGAAACTGAACATAATTACTTTATCTCTTTTTACAGTTTCACCTAAATACTCACCAAAAAAAACGCAAAGAAAAACATGGTTTGACGCCTGAAAACACGGAAAAAAATTGAAATTTAATTTTTTTAAGACGGGAAGTAGTAAGTAACGAGTAACGTAACTACGTTACTTGAAATAGTGACGTAAGTACATTACCCTTCACATTGTCGAAAAAGTAACGAGGAGGTTACTACGTTACTGAAAAAAGTAACGCGTTCCAGGTAACGCCATTACTTGTAACGTGTTGCCGCCAAGACTGCAGAACGGACAAAGCGTTACTGCTTGTCATGCCTTGTGGTCATGAGGGTAGGAAAAATATCATACCTTGACTCGAAGACGCCGTGTGTATTTATTTAATTAATAAATACACTTCCGCAGACCCACAGTCTGCTGATCCCGCCAGCAGCGCGGAAACCGTCTCGAAGTAATCGTAGGCCTCGAGAGACTTGTACCCTTGCACCGTGTCGGCCGTGAACTGGCTCGGCAAAAAAACTAAATAAACGATGACGTCAGCCGCCGACTTCGGTGGCAGCAACTTCACGTCGGAAGTCCAACAGGCCTTGCTTACGGCGCACGGATCCTCGTAGGCAACGCCGTCCACGCACAGTTTGTTTCGATACCGCTGCCGGTCAGGCTCGGGCAGCGAGCTCAAATAATCGGGCATAGCATGCGACTTACGTTGTCAGGAAATACGACTCACAAATAAAGCTAGAAGCGTCCCTACAACGTCAACAACGAGTGCATTCCGCACAACGCAATAGCGAAAACACGGAGAGCCGCGCCGCTTTTGCCCACATAGCTACCGCGCATGCTCGGCCTTCCGGCCGTGTTGGTAAACAGAGCCGCTCCGCGTGTCGGTGTATAGGGGGAGAATCTGGCCAGTGGGCGTATCTTAAACGTTCCATCTGTCGCCGTCGGAGGGCGCTGCTGCAGAAACCGGAAGTTAGCCCTGGTTGATTGACATAAGTAAGTAAGATTAAGGTTTTAATGGCGCAGCAGCAACGGAGGCCATAATGCGCCAAACAAAATGTTTATTAAGACTTAGATAACCAGCTTTGTTAAGAAAATTAAGACTTGTGTAGATAACCAGCTTTGTTAAGAAAATTAAAAACTCGTCTAAGTGGTACTAAGGCATTGTCACCAAGTAAAAACATAGGATGAAAGGGTAGATAGTCTCTAGAAAGTTCAGGAAAACATGATACGCGCAGTTGATGATAAAACAAACACTCCCATAGAATGTGTAAAATTGTAAGTAATTCCCCACAATGGGCACAAAGTGCAACTTCTTCACCACAGAGGAGGTACATATGTGTTAGACGTGAATGGCCGATTCTCAAGCGACAAAGCATAACCTCGAGACGACGGTTTCTTTGAAATGAACTTTCCCAGATGCCTATTATTGGTTTAATCACGTGGAGTTCGTTGTTGGTTTCAGTGTCCCATTCTAGCTGCCAAGTCTTTAAAAGAGATTTCTTTAAAAGTGGTTTAAAATCCTGATAGGGCAGGCCAAAAGATGCTATTGAATCTGTGGCAGATGCAGCCAAACGATCCGCACTCTCATTCCCTGCAATTCCCACGTGACTTGGTACCCAGCAAAATTTGATATTACATCCAAGGCGCAGAGCTCTGTTTACTTTAAAACGAACATGTTGTGTAAGTACATTCTTTGTGGAAAGTCTGGAAGAGATAGCAGCTAAGACGCTTTGTGAATCGACAAAAATGACTGCGTTCAATACACTGTTATCCAGAATATGCTCAATGGCTAATAAAATACCATAGAGCTCTGCAGTGAAGATGCTTGCCATTGAGTCAAGCTGCACAGCTCTTCCAAAGATACTAGAATAAACTGCACAACCAACGGAGCCTAAAGATTTCGACCCGTCGGTATAGTATTCGGCGCAACCGCTAGATGTCCTTTCTTGCAAAGATAGAAACTCTTGCTGAAGAAACTGTGGAGCCCCGGTCTTCTTACTGTATTTGGTGAAAGACCAGCCACAACATACGGGTAGCTCATTCCAAGGGGTTATTCTCTCCATAGATTTTAGCAAGTTGACACCACTTGTGGAAGGGACAGGGAGGTTGAAAGAGCTACAAATACTTTGAACTCGAAAACCTAGGGGGCGCACAATTGTTGGCTTCTTTTCAAACAAATTACAGAACTGAGGAATCTGTAGAATACTATAAGCAGGATTTTTCGGATCTGAAAGCACTTTGTAATTATAACTCAGGCTCAAGTACTGTCGGCATTTTTCCAGAGACATTTGATGCGTGTCCACATACAAGCTTAATACGGGTGACGTGCGAAATGCCCCAGTGGCAAGCCGGAGTCCGAGGTGATGAACCGGATCCAACATGTTTAGAGTGGAAGGTCGTGTCGAACCATAAACAATCGCTCCATAATCCAGACGTGACCGAACGAAAGCATTGTACAGACGTGGGAGGCATCGTCTGTCAGACCCCCAAGATATGTGTGAGAGCACCTTAAGGATGTTTGAGGATCGTAAGCACTTTTGCTTTACTTCCTTTAAATGAGACTTGAATGTAAGCTATTTATCGAAGACCATGCCTAAAAATTTATGTTCCTGCTTCACCGATATTTCTATGTTATTCATTTGTAAGATTGGGTCCAAGGTCAAACCTCATCGCAGGGAAAACGGCACACACACAGTTTTTTCTGGGGAAAACTTAAAACCATTTTCATTTGCACACTTGGTCATTCTGTTTATTGTGAGCTGCAGTTGCCGTTCACAACTGGAAAGGTTGCAGGACGAAAAGGGTATTTGCACATCATCCACGTAAAGCGAGTATGAAACAGATGACGGTATAACTTGAGCCAGACTGTTTATCTTAACTGCAAATATGGTGGCACTTAAGACTCCGCCTTGGGGGACACCATTTTCTTGTAAGAAGACATTGGATAAAGTCGAGCCTAATCGAACTTGAAATGTACTTTCACTGAAAAAATTCTGCAAGCAACGAAGCATGCGGCCACGCACTCCACAGTTGTACAGATCTCGAAGGATACCATACCTCCACGTAGTGTCATATGCCTTCTCTAGATAAAAAAAACACTGACACGCAATGCTGCCGGTGTACAAAGGCCTCACGTATGACGGTCTCAAGTCGAACCAAATGGTCCATGGTCGACCGTCCAGCACGAAAGCCACACTGCTTAGTGTCAAAAAAGTTTTTCGCTTCCAAAAGGAAAATAAGGCGGCGATTTATAAGCCTTTCATAAGTTTTCCCCAAGCAGCTTGTAAATGCTATGGGGCGGTAGCTGGTAGCCAAAGAGGGATCTTTTCCAGGTTTAAGTAAAGGCATAACATGGGCACTTCCCCAAGAATGCGGGAAAGCAGCAGCTTCCCATAGGTAGTTGAAAAAGGAC